GACAGAGACCATAAATGGGGATTTCCCCAGGGACATTAAGGTGTGGGCACCTGGGCAATGGTGGCGAGCAGGGAAAACGATACTCTTGGCGAAAACACTTAAAATCCTCAAAAAACTTTTCTAAAGAACTCTAAAGGCAAATTTCACAGCTGTCCTCTCTTGCCCATTTTAGTATTTTGCCACACCTCTTCAGAGTCAATGGAACTCTCTCTTGCTTTATGTATTTAGGGGGTAAAGAGCACATGTGTATAAGGAGAAATAACATCTCATATTTTATTTAATTCAGACAAGGTTGGTTCAAGAATGGATTGAAGGGGCCGGCCCTGTGGCCGAGTGGTTAAGCTCATGCACTCGGCTTCGGCAGCCCAGGGCTTCACTGGTTCGGATCCTGGGTGCGGACCTAGCACTGCTCATCAAGCCATGCTGGGGTGGCATCCCACACAGCAGAGCCAGAAGGACCTACAACTAGAATATACAACCATGTACCACAGGGCTTTGAGGAGAAGAGAAAAAAAAAGAAGATTGGCAACATATGTTAGCTCAGGGCCAATCTTTGGAAAAAGAATGGATTTAATGCTATCAACAAAGAAAAGTCATTTGGGTCCAGCTTTAAATCTGATCCATCAGCATCTCCTCCTTTTACTGCTTCAAAATAACTGTGTTCATCACAATCGCTGCCATTTTTTACACTTTTTATGTGCCAGTAGTGTGCTAAATGCTTTACATAGATTCTATACTTATTACAACAATCTCTTACAATAGGCTTCATTCTCCCTCACTTTACATATGAGGAAGCTGGGGCTCAAAGAAGTTAAATATGTTTCTACAGCCAGTAAGTGGTAAAGCTAGGATCTGAACCAGAATTGTCCGACTGAAAGCTGTGCGTTGTCACCCAGCACCTAGCATGGTGCCTAGCCCATAATATATGCCCCAAATACTTGGTTTGGAACTACCTGAATTGATGAGTTTTCAACATACCACTCATTGAGTGCCTACTCTGTTCCAGGGTTTTACAGGCAGCACCTCATCTAATTGTCTCAACAATCTGTTATTGGACAACCAACAATCAGGGAGGTAGGAAGTATCTCCATTGCACACAGGGGGACACTGACAACCTGGGAGGTTCCGTGACTTGTCCGAGGTGCCACAGGTAGTAACAGGTGGAGCTGGGGTCTGAAGCTAAGTCTGTCTGGCTCCAAGGCCTGTTGGTGTGCTTCTCCTTACACGCTCCTCCCTCTGTGCTCTCTCAGTCTTGGAAGGGACATCAGCCGCCACCTTGCCTCTGATGGACCGCCCCCCGCCCCGCCCCCAGTGATCACCTCTAATGGAATTTCATTGCCATTCAGTTTTTCTTTCTCCTTAAAACGTATGAAGTCTACCTTACTGTGAAAATCTAATAATAACGCTTTAAACCAAAGCACCATGTCGATGTAAGAAACATTTTCATGTACGTTATTTAACTTTCACTACCCTGTGCAGTGGGCATTGCCATCATCATTTTACAGATGTGGAAACAGATGTGGTCAACTGATTACCTGACCCCAAGTTCAGCGCAAGCTCTTTCCACTACACCAGGCTGCCCTGAAGTTCAAAGTCAACTTCCAGCTGGGGATTGTGAGAGAAGAGGTGGGGAAGAGGGTTCGAGGTGAGTCAGACAGTCTTCCTTCATTTCTTGACCACCTTAGAAACCATCCTCCTCACCTGCCCCACTCCAGGGTTCACGCCTCAGAGACACACCTCCATTTCTCCCTCTGGTGCTTGGACTTAAAACCTGACTTGCTAACCTCTGAAAGTGAAAGATAAATAGGAGGTCCTAGTAAAAGGTAATTAGAACAGTAAAAGTACCTCAGGTCATTGTAAAAGGGGCTAGGCATCCTATCTCAGTCCTCTTTGTATTTACTATGGGTGGAACAGCCCCTAACTAAGGGACCCAACTCCTTGGCCCAAAAGTCTAGCCCAATACCTATGATGGGTAACAGGACTAGGGAGCAACCCAGGTTTCCCTCTAGACTAAGCCAGATCCCGGTCCTTGGGGCAGGAGGAGCCTAGGCGGAGCCAGAGACATTAGGACCCTCTCAGATCCTGAGGTCAGTCAACTCTCAGGGGGAGGTAGAGAGAGGGGAGTCCTCACTCAGTTCTTGAGTCAGCCAGCATGACAACTCCCCAGGACAACGGTGGGCTGGAAGAGGCTTGTGTCACTACCTGGCGTTTGTCTACACCCTGGCAGGGCTTTGGGAACGCCCAAAGCCATCCTAGAATGCTTGTCCCGAATCCCCAGGACAGCAGGAACCTAGCAGAGAAGCCCAGGTCTGAGCTAACAGCCCCCAGACTGCCCTCAGTGCCTCGGCTGTCCACTTCTAGTTACCCCCTTGAGCAGCAGCCTCTCCATCCGCTTAGAGAGCGCTGGGCCAGTCATAGGACAGGATCCCACAGAGACAACTATGGAGAGAATGCGGGAGGGCGTGAGTGCCTCCCCATGGCGCAGAACCCCCCTGATTATTTCACACAAGGGTGCTTCAGGATCACCGACAACCCAGTGGTGCACTTCAAAGAGTGGTCACTGGGTGTCACCCCTGCTTCTTAGGCAAGTGCCCTCATGGGTTAGCTAACGCTAAAGGGTGCTGGAGAAAGAAAAGTCCTTCTTTAAGACTCACTTTACAAGCCTGACATCTTCTGGGCCTTCTGTGAACCCCACAATGTGCTCACCCGTCTCGTCCCCCTGCCCCTCCTGGCTGGCCTGGATTGCATGGTCCATCATGGAGCCACTCCCTTGCCCCTGTCTCCTTCCTGGCTCACTCAGCAGAACCCAAGCTGCATTCTCGGCACCGCACTGGAGCAGACACATGAGGCTGGAGCAGGTCCCACGGCAAGACTGGCTTTGCTTTCGACTCATGATCACAGACCTTAAACAGACACGCATTCCTGGTGAGCAATCTGTCCACATGAGTTCAAGTCTCACTCCCCCACTCCCTCTGAAAACAACTTCATATCTTATCTTCAAGCCTCCCGTGCCCCTCCTCCACTTTCACTTGTTCCATCAAAAAAGAGAAAATAGGTACTAACTTCCTCTTCTTTTCATCATCGAATCTCTAAACTGACCAACGTGTGTCCACATCTTCTCTTCCTTCACTTCTACTCTGAGTCCCACCCCCTCACCTTCTCAAGGTCCTGGATCCTTTGACTTTCTCTACTTTCTTCTGGATTAATATCTCCTTCTATCCTGGGGAATTCCCACTGGCAAACAATTAAGCTCTAGCATCTCACCTTAAATCTCTCTCTCTCTATACCAAGTGACTCTGGCTATCGGCCCATGTCTCTGTCCTCTTTCAGTGCTAAATTTCTCTTTTTGTCTCAACACCGTCAAAATAGTTGTCTCTACTGACAACCTCCCAGTCACCCTTCAGCCTCCTCAGATCTGCCCAATACCCACCCTGCTCCAGTGAGCTGACTTTCTCAAGGCCACTATGATCTCCATGTCACCAAATGCAACGGACATAAATATCTCCTTTTAACACTCTCCCCTGGATAGGGCATAGCAGACCGGACCACTTTCTCCCCTCTTGGCTTCCATGACACCACCTCCTCCTGACTTCTCAGATGTCTCCTCCTTGGTTTCCTTTGCCAGTTCTCCACTATCTGATTCTAAATATTAGAATTCCTATGGTCTTGGTTCTGGATCATCTTGTCTTTTCCTTTTTACCCCATCTTCTTAGGTAATCACACCCATTCCTGATGATTTATATATCCCCTTTTTATGCTGATGACACCCAAATTTGTATCTTTGGTCCAGCCCTATCAATTGACATCTCCATTTGCATGTTTCATGGGTGTTTAAAACTTAACCTGTACAGAATGGAATTCTCCCCCCAACACCTGTCCTCCTTCCTGTAGTCTTCTCTAAGTGACACCATCGTCCGCCACACTGCTCAAGCTCAAAACCTAGCAATCATCACTTTTCTATTCACTCCATATGCCCATTCCATTAGCAAATTCTATTGACTCTACCTTTTGAGGAAGAGTCAATAGATTTGCATTTCAAATCTCTTCACTTCTTTCAATCTTGACTGCTACCCACACTTACGCAGCCACTATCATCTCTCTGCTCAATTCATACAAAACATCTCTAACTAATCTTCCCATTTCCACACTCTCTTCAACCTATTCTTGACATAGTATCAACAGTGATGGACATGTTCTGTATCTTAATCTGGATATATATGTAAAACTTTGAGGTGTGCTTATAATTTGTACACTTTACTGGAGGTTACACCTCAACTAAAAACAAAAACAGGACAAAAAAGCTAAACAAGACGCCAATTCCCTAGTTAAAATCTTTCAGTGGCTTCACACCGCCCTGGAATAAAAACCCACCCCTGCCTGACTTGGCCCCAGCCTTTCTCTCCAACCTCACCTCCTACTGTGCTCTCCCTTGCTTGCTAGAACCCTGACTTTCATTTAATTTCTCTAACAAGCTAAATGCTTTCCTGCCTGCCTCAGGACTTTTGCTCAGGCTGTTCCCTCTGCCCAGAATCCTTCCCCATGCTTAGCACCTTCTCTTCCTTCATGTCACCTGCCCAGGCTTTTCCAGACCGCCATATCTAAAATATATCAGACCATTTATTCTTTCTGCTCCCAAATTATTGTATTTTATAATATTTTTTTTCCACTGTCGAGACCAGCTTATCCATCACATATTACGTACCTGCTATTATGCTAAGTGCTACGTACATAACCAATACCATGAGCCCCATACTCAAAGAGCAAACAGATCTCTTTTCTCTTTATTTTTTATTTCTTGTAAATCAAGGTAGAGGTACTTAAATTAAAAAAAAAAAAATCATGAGTTCATTCCAGGGCAGCAGCCTCCACCCTAGAGGGGGAGGGGGCGATGATGGGTTGAACTGTGTCCTCCAAAAAGACAACAAGTAAGTTCAAAACAGGGGATAAGCATGCCTGAGAAAAATGTAAAAGCCATAACCCACAGGCATAACACCCACACATCAATAGAAAATGACTTTATTCTTTTTTTCACAAAATTAATTCAGAGGCTAAAACCACAGGACCCAGAGAGCAGGTGTGGGGCACCAGGACTCCTGGTGCAGCAGGTACATCTCAGATGCCTTGTTCTTCCAACTCAGCCTTCTGATATCCAACTTTTGTTTTTGACAAGTGCAATCATTTCAAGAACAGGGCCATTCAGAACTACTTCATTTACTCAAAAGCTCTTCCGAGAGGATCTCTGCTTGACTGCTTCAAGGATCTCTCGGCTGGTGACGGCTCTCCTGTGGTTGTAGAAGGACAGCCTAACCGCCTCCAGGCTAACCCGTTCCAGCCGCCAATCCTCCAGAGAGCCCAGGGCATCCAAGATCCAGGAGTACCCACTGAAGTCTGGGTGGGTCTGGGGGAGAAATGGCATGAGGGTGAGACAGAGACGAGAAGGCTTCCCATAGTGAGCGATTTATAGTCTACCCCAGCACCCATGCGTCTATGGCTTGTGTGGATTCGTGCACATGTGGAACCACAGGAACCACAAAAGGGACAACGGTGGGGATTTGATGCAAGAAACCTGGCCATTGTACCTGTCAGCTGTCTCTGAGGAAGTTGGAGGGAGAGGGGAATTTGTAGTTGGTGAGCAAGATAACTCGTGTCTGGAGAATACAGACTAACTCTGGTCACTTCAACTTTTGTACCTCAGTCTTTCCTAATAGAGTCAGAGTTAACATCCAACATGTTGTGGAGATGGAAAATATAATTTTAGTTTAGTGTATACTTTCACACTCTATATTTCATATAAGTAAGCACTTTAATGCTTCTCAATTTCCAGGCTGATGTCCTTGTGCCAACATGATCTCCAGCCAAGCTGGGACAGCTTGCTCTTCCTCAGATGTGTCTCTGTGTTTTCAGTCTCCATGCCACTGTTTATCTGTCACCTCTACCTACCATGCCCACACGCCACTCTACCTTTCAAATCCTAGCCATCCTTTAAGGCTCATCCCCAGGAGCCATCTCTGGTATATCTGCCTTCCACACAACCTCCCACTGAGGACCAGAGCCCTCCGTGTTCTCAGAGCCTATCACACCGCTTCATGTCATTAGAGTTCTTGTCTAAAGTTCGAGAGGCAGCTGCAATAGTCAAAAGAATGCCCCCCTGAGAATCACTCACCCAGGCCTCTAATCCTACCTCTGTCTGGAAATGAGATGTCATGTAAGCAAGTCGTATTCTCGCGCCGGGCCTCAGTTCCTTTTTTGTGAAAGGAAATCCTTGAAGCGGGATTCGAAAGGCTTCTCCTGCATCTAATAACTTACAAGTATTTCCTCAATGTCCCTCCCTCACAGGATCACAAGCCCCATAATGATAGAGCCCCCACTGTTTTCATCTGAGCTGCCGGAGCAGCCCTGGCTCACGCTTAGACACGCAATACATTTATCCAACCCACATCTTGTTTTATCCCCACAGCACCCTGAGAGGCTGACCCAAGGCACAGACCCGACCTTTGGGAGGTTTGAAGAAGCAGAGCGGCCTGCCAGACCCACAAGGTCAAGCACAGGCCAAGAAAAGACTAACAACTAGAGGACTGCTTAGTCCAAATATTCCTATGGAGGGGCCCTTCTGGCCAAATGCAGGATCTCCAGCAGTGGTCCTCAATGGGGGCGATTTTGCCCTCCAGGGGATATTGCACAATAACTGTGGACATTTTTGTTGTCACAACAGGGAGGGAGCGTCCTACTGGCATTTAGTGAGTAGAGACCAGGGATGCTGCTCAACATCCTACAATGCACAGGACAGCGCATCCCCCACTCCCCCAACAACAAAGAATTATCCAGCCCCAAAATGTCAACAGCGCTGCGGTTGAGAAACCCTGCTCAATTTCATACACCTTCATACACCTTCTCTCCTTCTCTTTTCTTTCCTTATTCCCATTTTTCTCTTCTTCTCCCAAGGTAAGCAACAGATTCAAAATGATGCTACCGGAATACAGAGAGCTTTGCTACAATAACACACATGAGCACTCAGCCTTGCTTCATTGTCATGAAGAAGTAAAATCCAAAATCAAGCCTTAGCACATATTTCATAGAATCTCCTCACTCTCTTCCCTATTGCTTCTTTTGAAGGGGGAGACTTTCCTGATTTTGTTTTCTATATTTTTTATGCCATGGGGTGAGGTTAGGTGGATGGCAAGCAGGAATAAGAGTGCCTACCCACTTAAGGAATATTCTAAGTACAGAGCACCATTTAATGAAAACCTGATATATGCAGCTCTTCAAAGTGATAGAACAGACGAGGTGGTGAATCCCCTCTCCCCAAGAAAAGGGGAGGGTATTTAAGAATCAGTTTACAGATTGCCTGTCAACAGACACAAGGAAAAAGAGACACTGGAGGCTCAGGTGTTCAGAGTTGCTGCCAGTAGAAAGCAAGCCAAGCGGGAGAAGATAGCAGCCATTAGCAGATCCAGTTTATAGGAGCTGTTTGCACACAACTTAACTCAATGTGTGAAGAAGGATTCCTGTATCAGAATAAGTTGAAGTCAAGATCACACCCAGGGCCCCTAACGCGATCCCTGTCTTGGCCATTCTAAGCTTCTATAGAGAGTTGCAACTCACTTGCTTTAGGATTTTCCCCATGTAACTAAAATACGCCTCCTTCTTCTTCCTCCTCCTCTTTCCCAACAGCTGAGCTGGTCCACTCATACTTCTTTTTGGCTAGAATATAATTTGTAGTCTTCTTAGGGAATCTTAGGCCACGTAAGCAAATGAAGTACATGCGGAAGGCTTAATCCTTACACTTGTAGCTCAGAGCAGTGGCCTTAAGCAAGTGCACCCTCCAAAGAGGTTTTATAGGGAGAGCTGGAAGAAACTCTTTCCTAATAAAATCAGTGGTGACTGACTACACCTGCCAGAGATGCAGGCTCTCAGAATCCTTAAGAGATATTAGGTGTAGAGTCTAAAGCAGGCTGGTGTTGCATTCCTGAAAGGAGCATGAGGCGGGAAACAAAATCTTCAGCTTTCTGTGGCTTGCCCGGTGGCGCAGCGGTTAAATTCACACGTTCCGCTTCGGCAGCCCAGCGTTTGCCAGTCTGGATGCCAGGTGCGGACACGGCACTACTTGGCAAGCCACGCTGTGGCAGGCGTCCCACATATAAAGCAGAGGAAGATGGGCATGGATGTTAGCTCAGGGCCAATCTTCCTCAGCAAAAAAGAGGCGGATTGGCAGCAGATGTTAGCTTGGAGCTAACCTTCCTCAAAAAAAAAAATCTTCAGCTGTCTTCAGCTCTATCCCATGTGAAAGAGAGAACAACCAACTTTAATGTAATGGCCATCAATCTCCCAGGCCACACTCATCTCAGAAGGTATTCGTTTTCTGTGTGTAACTCTAGGTGTTCTTATTACAGTGGTTCTTAGCCACAAAAATTTCAGTTGAAAAGGACTGGGAGTGGAATGTAGGAAGCTGTGGTTTTCTAAAGCATCCCAGGTGAATCTAATAAGGAGCTAGATTTGGGATTCATTGATCTATAAAACCTTCCTAATACACCACCATGAGATGTGGGGCTGGGGTTGGGGTGGGGGGAGCCGCTTTTCATGGGCATCATGCTTATGCCCCATGTATTTGTATTTGAATTGGGAAAGAAATGTATCTCCTGAAAGGCAAATATGTACCTGGTTTTGCAACAGCAATTAGGAACTCAGGTGACAAAGCATAAATAGGAAAGCCAGGAAGTCACCCCACGTTCAAGACTGAATGTTGAGAAACTGTAGCTCCAGAGGCCGTGCGCTGCCTGCAATGAGCATATCAGCTCAGCTATAAGTGACCAGCCTGACACAAACCAAGAGAAAATAAGACAGCAGAGAACCAGGGTGTGAAAGGACGAGAAGAACCCGGTCAGAACAGACAGCCTTTCCTCTCCCACCTAGTTAGGAGCCGCATCAAAGCCCCGGTGGGGGGACTGGTGGATAATAACAGCAGTGTCAGCTTACACTTATTGAGCCCTAACTGTCCCAAGACCCCATGCTAAGTATTTAACACACTTTATCTCATTTAATTATCATAGCACCATTATGAGGTACGATACTAGTATTACTCTCACTTTACAGAAGAGGAAACTGAATCTCAGAGGGCTGAAGTGACTTGTTCAGGGTCACGGACAGTACATAAGTGGCAGAACCAGCCCTTGGGCCTTTGCTTCTAACCCCATGCTCTACCACCTTGCAAACCTCAACACCAGAGCCCCACGATCCTTGTAGTTATAAGTGTGTGCCCTGCGCTGTTGCCACAGGGATGTATTCATTGATGGAGAACATGGGATGTAACTTATCCATAGTGGATGCTCAAGTCTTCTGAATTAATCACTTGATAACAACAACAACAGAGGTTCAACTGAACGCTTCTGTGAAAGGAAAAAGGAAAAAGTGGTTCCCTGGTGGTCAAAGCCAGGCGCCACCCACCACCTCAACTCCTACTATCATTTCACTAGCTTCATCTCTTATTATTTCTCTATTCAAAAACATAATATATGCATAGAGCATATATGAGGAAGTGGATTGGAAGTTTTAAGGCAAAGAAATAAATACAAACTGGCAGGTATCATCAAGGCTTCATGGGAGGGCGCTCTTCACTGGACTGGGGCAACGGGAAGGATCAGGCCAGGAGGGAACTAGATCAACAAGGAATGTCAAGGGGATGCTGGAGGGCATTTGGGGGAGGAAAAGAAGAACAGATGTGGTGTTGCGGTGGGAGTGTAGCACAGAAGGCCTGGCCAGGTGGCATTCACTCATTCAAAAATAGTCCACAAATTTTGACCCCCCGCTAAGTGCAAAGCCCATGGCTATGCATGGGAATGGTAATAAATCACCAGTAGGAATCACAAAACTCACACAGAAGAAAATCACCGGGTGATTAGAAGACTCACAGGCAGATATTAGAAATTTTAGTTTGCTAAAAAGGGCATGCAGTAAATTATTACCTGACAATAATTTCCCTATCCTGAAGAGAAAGGGAGCAATTACGCTAATAGCTATGCTGGCTTGTGTTTACTGAGTGCTTGCTACCCGCCTTGAATTATACAGAGCACTTTATAGATGTCATCTCATTTCATTGTTTTAATGCTAGGAAGTGGGTTTTATCATCTCTTTAATAAAGACGAGGGAATTGAGGCTTAGACAGATGAACTAGTTTGGTCAAGGTCACACAGGTAGTAAGCCGCAGAGCTAGGAAGTGAACTCCGGTGTGTCTGACACCAAAATTCCCATCAATATTTCTCCAAGTTAGGGCCCCTGCCCACCTGCAGCAGAACTTCCTGGGCTGTTTATTAAAATGAAGATCCCCAACCACTATCCTAAGCCTCTGGTACAGGTACCTAAAGCTCGAGCGCCACTGTACCACCACTGCCTCCCGAGTATGGG